AACCTGGATCGTGGGGGCTGTTCTATCCCACCCTGGAGCGGGATGGCTGCAGGGGAGGGTGGGATGCGGGATGCCGGTGCCAGGGGGCTGACGTTGCCTGTCCCCTTCTCCCACAGATGACATCCATGCTGCAGACGGGCGGCAGGTCTGCCGGCGCCACGAGCTCTACGTCAGCTTCCAGGACCTCGGCTGGCTGGTATTTATCTACCTGGAGAAGTAAACACCAAACCCCATCACTGCCCCCCCTCCCAGCTCAGCTGCCCGTGCCCAGCAGCAGAGCAGGGCAGCCCCATCCGGGAGCTGGGAAAGCAAATGGGCGCTGCCACAACCCTAAATGCCGCTGGTGACCCAGAACTACCCGTGGTTCAGTGTGAAAAACCAAACTGAACCCTTGCTGCTGGCACAGCCACCCAGGGAGGGGTCCGTTGGGTTGGTTTTGCAGGTGGGGATGGATGAAAGGGCACAGAAAGGGTGAAACCCATGGCATAAACCCTTTGTATGTTGCAGGACTGGGTGATCGCTCCGCAGGGATACTCAGCCTACTACTGCGAGGGGGAATGTGCCTTCCCCTTGGACTCCTGCATGAATTCCACCAACCACGCCATCCTGCAGTCCCTGGTCAGTGCAACCCACGGGGGGACACAGAGGGAGTGGCTGGAGGCCAATGGGTGCCAATGGAGAGCTGGATTTGGGGCTGGGAGGGGGTTAGGTTGGAGAGTGCAGTTCAACTGCAGCTCCCAGTAAAGCATCAGTGGGTGCACGCACATCTGGATGGGCTGGCCCCTGCTGTGGGCTCACAGATAGCAGGTCCTGGGGTGAGCCCTGGGGCTCACAGATAGCTCCTCCCCACCAACCTATCACCAAGGGCATCGTGTCTCCAGCATCCTCCTCAGCAGCCACATGAGGGTTTCATCTCGGGCCCCAGAGAGCACCTCTGCAGCTCAGCGCCCAAACATTGGGCTCAGCAGATTCCAAGCAGGAAGGCTTCAACGCCCCGTTTTTCCCAAACCCACCCCGCATCCCAGCTGGTGCTTTTTAATGTCTGGTTTTTTTTTGCCGGTGAGTGCTGGATTGCCCAATGGCAGAAGCCACACCAGCTCCGGGTAATTACAGGGAGCGCTGAGGCCTCGCATGAGACTTTGAAGGCGGGTTTAATCCTTGCACTAATGAAGCTGCCGGGGCTGGGTGCGATGC